CAATCGCAGTGTTCCTTGACCTTAAAGGAGCCTTCGATTCAGTTGACCGTGAAGCTCTTCTGGGGTCGCTGCTCCGCAAAGGAATGCCGCGGAAGTATGTACACCTACTGCGGTCATTGTATCTGCATACCTCTGGTAGCGTAAGGGTCTACGGTAAATCGTTCGAAACCAGGAGCGGTGTCCGTCAAGGGTGCCCTATTTCGCCATTCCTGCTCAATTTCGTCGTAGACGAAGTTCTGGAGAAAAGCTGTGCGATTTAGAGTACGCTGATGACATCGTATGTCTGTTCGAATCTATGGAGGATGCGCAATGCGCTCTTGACAGACTAGCAAGTTCCTTATCTCCTTTCGGCATGCGCTTTGCACCTTCAAAGTGCAAAGTGATGCTACAAGACTGGGTGTCGTCTACCCCAGCATTGATGCTTGATGGTCAAGAATTAGCTGTAGTGGAATGTTTTACCTACTTAGGTAGCTGCGTTTCAAACGACGGCAGCATAATTGATGAAATAATCGTTCGCATTTCCAAGGCTCGAGCAGCTTACGCAGGTTTGAAACACCTTTGGTGTAGACGTGATGTTTCGTTGAAACTGAACGGTCGTGCATACTGCGCCAGTGTGCGGCCAGTTCTGCTCCATGGTTGCGAGACCCTAAATTTGCGCGTGGAAGATACTCGTCGTCTTGAAGTATTCGACTGTTTACGTAGTTTGGCTCGGGTTGGATGGAACGAGCTTGTAAGCAACTCTGAAGTGAGGCGTCGCGCTTTTGGTAATGATTCGATGGAGAATTCTTCGTTCCATCGAAGTCAGATTAGTCGACCTCACTGGTTATGACACGTATTGCGCATGTCCAGCCATCGTCTGCCGCACCGCGCCTTGTTCGCAGTTGCGGCTCCAGGTTGGAAGAAACCGCGTGGTGGTCAACAGATGACGTGGAAGCGAGGCATGAAGAAATGCACAGAGCGATTAGGTAGAATCGGTGTCTCCCGTCTTCCAGGTTGGGGTCCGAAAGACTCTATAACTGGTTGGCTGGAGACATCAAAGGATATGGCGACTAACCGACAGCGGTGGCGCTCTTGTTGTCATTTCTTAACAAGGCAGAATGCTTGAAAAAAGGTACGCACAGACAATCAGATTGTGTGCTCTGTATGTTGAACATAGAGCTTCTTTTTATTTGCTCGCTTCAATGCACGATGATGATGGTGTTTGAGATATCCTCAGGGAGCGTTCTCACTTTCTAAGTTCACAGAGGTGGACAACCTCGTGGTCACCCAGCTCACTACTACGAACAATGTACTACTAAATGTTTCGCCGATCCAAGGGAAAGGGTTGAGTTGCCGGGTTTTGTTCTTCATTAAATGATTGCTAAAATCAAATGAAAGGCCTCTCGTTCAACCAACATTTATCACGGAAATCAGACCACGCTACTACAGTCTTCACTAATATTCGTCGCTTGAACCTGTCCCTCTCATCTTTTTCACAATGGCCTTACAACCAAAGCATACTCCTTCCTCTTCAGACTTCAGAGTCCTATATTCCAAATTACTTTTCTTCGCCACAAATTTTGAAGATCGGTGTCTGCGTCCACAAGCACTACTCCTCGTCTTCTTGTAACCAGTAGCTTTATACCGTTCTCTATAACTCTACCACAGTACACGTGACGGCTAGAAGAGAAAATTTACCGTCCATCCTCGGGACAACAAACTGATGAGTTACTGCAGCCCCTAGACGATTAGTCAACCTCGCTTCATCCCCACACCTACACCTATGTTTTTCTCAGTTTCCTCACCGGTTCGCACAAACCCATATGCTCTCATTCCTCTAGCTCCCTCTCATCACCGAAATTGATAAAACACAGGTAACCAGGATGCTTTTCTCCCTGGAATGACTATCATTTCGTCCGGTAAGTCAGCCTTTTGTGGGCTTCATTTAGATTGGCCTTCCAAACATGTGCAATCGTAATATAGAAACCGTTACACACAACATACAGAGCTTCGGAAGGCAGAACGCCCAGATATCCAAGACCACGGTCATTTGCGGACGCCGTTTTAGGAAATGTTTGCACTTCAAACTTTCCCCTCTTCGAAGGTTTAACTACATGGAGGAGGTATAGGCCTCAGCTTACTCTCCACCTCTGTTCCAATTCTCACTATATCCTATTCAGCCGAGTACTGATCTGCCTCACATGTCAGAAGCGTGTCAAACTGTGGTCGGGAGATCCGTTGACCACCACATCTACGCTGCTTATACCCCTAGTAAAATACACCCTTTCTGGATAAATGACAATTCTCCTCATCAATTTACGTAGAGGCCTATCCAATCCCCAAAATTGTCGTCCCACCCCGTTAGCCGGTATAATTTCGTGGAGTTTTGAGACAAGATTCGGAATCCGGTGCCTCAAAGTACAAGCTATTATCAATCGCACCATCCTGAAGAACATCCGCAACATGCTGCAGCTAGTGGGTAAACAATGTAAACTGCTGTTATAGTGTTTTGCGATCGGTGACCCTGAAGCCTTCGTATGTTCGGGGTGGGTGCTCTGGTTGCGGTTGGATAGCCTTCCTTTGCACCTCACGAAATGCTCCTGTACGACCAAGCGTCTCAAATAACATCTGCCGAGAAAGCCCTACACAGTCCCCTCACCGAAGTGAGGAGTCGAAAAGTCAACATCCAAGTTGGCGAACTATTGGCAGTTCACTTATGGGTCGGCGAAAAACCTGATTCTAACTAGGTGACCACTCACCGACATCTGGGTTGAGGCAGGGGTCACCGGCACAACTGGGCAGATCGGACGTTCGACCACGCCTAAAAAGAGCATGATGCAATGTATCGGACATCGGCCCCCTGATGGATGGCGTACTTCACACACCACATCGCTGTCTTGCAGGTCAGACGTCGGATAGCCGAAGGCTCTGGATTTGAACTCCCCAAGAAAATTCACCTGCATTGGCCCCGGGAACCTAGCTGTATTCCAACCACAAACGAATCAGAACGTTTTCGTCCTCCTCATGCTCATGCCACTATGCCTCTTTTCATCAAAACAGAAAGAAGACAATGTCGCGAGATGTTAACATTTCGTTTAATCTTCTCAGTCGCTGACTTAAAACAAACAGGCACATATATAGCACATCGGATGAATCGGCAGAACAAACCCTCAGCTGTCACAACGGATGGCCGAACATATTCT